ACAAAAAAAAAAAACACTCGAAAAAAAAAACAAAATCGTTACTCTCCCCTATATATATATATATATATATATATATATATATATATATATATATATGTATATTTAAAAATTACGAATAATTTCAAGAAGAATATTCATCCGCATTTTCCTCCTTTTTCTTTTTCTGTTTTTTTTTTTTTTTTCTTTTTTTTCCTTTCTTTTCTTTTCTTTTATATATATCACATTACTATCGAAACAGTAGTAATTTTAATGAATTGATTAAAAGTAATAAATTATTCAATTTACAAATTTTTCCAATTTCTCATGAGAGAAATGTTATCAGCCAATTATTATGATTTCATTAGAGGCCTGACAATATAAAAATCTTCTGTGTATACAAAGTACTGGATTAATGCATCCATAGGCAAAAATCCAATTATTTCGAGTATACGAATGAGTATACGAATTATGTGACAAATCGTGTTGCCCATAAATTTTGGGTCTTATCGTTTTTCTTTTCTTCGTTTTTTTCTTTTTTTCCCTTTTTTCCTTTTTTTTTTTTTTTTTTTTTCCCCATTATAGCATTATTATGGAGCTCTTTATAAATCGATAAATAAATTCCGTTACTTAAAAATTCAACTTTACAACGTCACGCGAATTTAATACTTCTCAAAAAGCTCCTCTATACATACAAATAATTTTCCGATCGTGATTCAGCTCACATGGCATTATAATTAACTCCGTGTAAATTAATTGGCATAGTGGTACTCGGAAGTGCATAGTCCGTATGCCTACTATCGATATAACCGCTTAACATGGTATGAGGACTATGAGTGGTTAACATAGTATGAGTGCTGTGGGTATTGTGTGTACTGTGTGGAGTCGAAGGCGGCCCCATGGGCGTTGGACTTTGCGAATTTACAGGTTGGGCCGATTGTGCCGCAGGCGGTGGTGAAGAATTAACTTCCTGTTTCACTCTTGACTTTAAGCTAGGTCGATTATTAGGATAACCACGTTTCTTGTACTCGAGCCAAAGCGTTCGATTATTTACACCGAACATTCTGGCAGCTTTACAAAAGCCTATACCACCGTATCGCACTGCATCGAGAGCTCTAATAAAGTTCTCATCAGCTTGTGGATTTGTTGATCTTTTCCTTTTAATCGCCGTTTGGGGACTGGCGCAGGGACTTTGGCAGTTACTCGGACACTGTGTTGAGGATGGCGGTGGAGCACTTGATGCTGATGTATGCTGTAACGTTGATGTCCCCCCATGCGACGAGGAATTTGGATAACTCGTCAGGGCACAACTGGAACCAGTGGTGCTGGTACCAGAGTACTGATCGCTGATCGTCGAAGAAGTTGTTATTTCAGGCGTTGTAAACGCTGATGACGCTTGGATCGACAGATTCGTTTGACACGAGGACAGAGCGAAACGTGGATATGTGTGCTCCATAATAGTCCATTGTAATCCTGTAGAACAGACCGATGTATCTTTGGTCAGAGCACAGGAAAATATTATCCCGAGAAAAAAATGTTTCGTTTGAAAATAATAATAAATTAAATATATGCATATAAGATAAAAATTATATATATATGTATATATATATATATATATATATATATATATATATTTATATATATGCATACATATACATATATGTACGTATATGTATATATATATACATATACATATGTATGTACGTATATGTATATATATATACATATACATATATATGTACGTATATGTATATATATATACATATACATATATATGTACGTATATGTATATGTATATGTATATATATACATATGTATATATATTCTAATAAGTCTACGATATATAATTCAAACGAGCTAATCTAAAGTTATATCATTTAGATCTTTCACTTGATATCTCATACGACAATTCCTTTGACATATATTCTAATATATTTTTTATAACGACATATATGACGGCTATATATGTAATATGTATTATAGTGAATGTTAGAGTTCTATTAAGATAATAATAAAAATATTGTTCAATTTGTAAAAGAAAAAAGAAAAAAAGAAAAAAGAAAAAAGAAAAAAAAAAGAAAAAAAAAGAAAAGAAAAGAAAAGAAAACGAAATCTTATATTTTATATAAATGATAATGTATAATAAAATCGGATTAATAATTTTGTCATATAAAATAAGTCATTTCCTCCCAATATAATTGAAAAAATGCTAAGCTGTAAGCAAGAGAAAGAATAATAAATATTTAAAAAATGTACATAGAAAATAATATGTATGTGAAAATATTATAAATGATATTATGGCATGGCACAGATACATTTTTAAGCACATCATCGTTTTTATATCATATAAAAGTGTATTACTATTTATTATAGGACAGAACAAGGCACACATACACATTCAACAATGTCAAAGGCCCAATTTACTGTCCTTTCACGAAATATACATTGTGTGCTATGTATCTGTGTACCATGGTGAGAAGAGTATTTTAATGACAGTGAGGCAATTTAATTTATTATCATTTCTATATCTTTGTTCCTTTACTTTCGCTCTATTATCATGTCAAACGCCTGTTGATTTTCTTTGTGCAATACATTTAAACGCATCTGTGCCAGCATATAATGTGTATCAATAGTACTTATTAACACATGCAGTTTTTATAATACCCATCACAACCAATATGCATCGCTAGATTAAAAGTTATCAAATTATTTACTTAATTTACAAGCAACATGCAACCTTTAAGTTAACTTACTTATCGATTTATTACATATAATTATTGTGATAAATTAATCATATAAAAAAATTAACAATATACGTAATACATATACATATCTGCGTATATGTATATGACTCTATATATGTACAAGTACGTTCATGTATTAAACTATATCTGAAAGTCTTACGTTTAATTACAGCTAACAAGATTTTACTATATTTGCCTATGGACTTTGGTTTGCATATAATAATAATAATAATAATAATAATAATAATAATAATAATAATAATAATAATAATAATAATAATAATAATAATAATCATAATAATAATAATAATAATAATAATAATAATAATAATAATAATAATAATAATAATAATAATAATAATAATAATAATAACAATAATGACAATAGTTATAATATGTATCAATAGTTTCATACGTTAACAAAATATTTAATGTGCAAAAGTATTTTTACAAAATTCTATTTATCATTTTTCCCATGCTTTTTCCCCTGATTTATTAGCATGCAAATATAGTTAGATTTAAAGAATTCTATATAAAGAATAGTATTCCCTGCCTACATACAGCAAAAAAAAAAAAAAAAAAGAATTATTTGTTAGTATTGTGTTTCGTGTTTTCTTGATCAAATAATTTTTCACGACCTAATCATCACACATCCTTTATATCTTCCTTCTATTATGTTATATAAAATAATGAATTTAAATAACCTTATTAATTTTTCTTTGCTAATCTCAAATGAGAAAATATACAAAATTTTAAATTCAATGAATAATTGAACTTAGATAATGATCATTGATTATATTATAATACATGCATCATATGTAAATGAATGAAGAAATAAAGAATATTCTCAATATAAATGAACTTTCCTTCTTGCACCTATTTCTATACTATCTAAATGAAATCTACATCTATTGTTAATACTAACCTGAAATACTTAATATATTTAAATAATATTGAATTTTAATATTAAAATAGCTTACCTTGATGTGCCGGTGGTTGAGAAGAAACAGAACTTTGTGCTACATTTCCACTCGATGGTTGATTCACATTTTGTATTGTAGTATCACTTTGTGCCGGCATTGTTGTAGAACTACTTTCCATATTACTCATCTATAATAAAGATCTATTAGAATCATGTATACTTTTTAAAATGTTAATTTGTTGTTTTTTTTTTTTTCTATTTTTTTTTTTCTTTTTTTTTTTTTTTTATATTATACAAAAACGCTCACTATTGATATTTGATCTTCATCGATACTTCCTTGTGACTCTGTACTAGTGTTCACCGGTCTCCTTACATTTTCCCCACTTTCTTGTGATACAATCAATGGTTCAGGTTTTACAATGTTAGTAGCAACCAATGTAATCTCATTAATTTCTTCCGTTTTGTCTCCAGATCCAGATGTCGATCCTGTCGATGTTTTTCTCAATCTCTTTCGTCTGAAGGATGGAGAAAGAGGAGATGGACTGGGAGAACATGATTCCCCACGATCAGCAGCTCCTTGTTCGCTACTACTACTTGGCCATTTAGTTAATGAAGCTGTATGCATTTCTGCAAGACCTTTTATCTTCAAACTTTCTGCTGTCTGTTAAGAAACAAAAAAAAAATGATATCTTAATACATTAAGAAACATTAAATATTTTATAATTGTCAATACGTACTTTAATAATAGATGGTAATTGATCTTGAGAAATATTAACTTCTCCATAATACATAAAATCTACCATGATTTTGAGATCAGAGAATTTAACATCTTTTAGTATAACAATCGGATGTTGGCATGGATTAACTGTGAATAACGATTGGAAATATGTACTACATGCTGATAGTACAACTTTATGTGCTTGAAGATGTCTGCCTTCAGCAGCTAATGTAACATCCACTAATGTTTCATTATTTAATAAATTTGAGAACACAGAAATGAAATTTGGTTGATGATTATTCCACCGCAAACAGAATTGTTGCATGGACATCTTGATATAAACTTGTAGCACCTTTTTTTTATATATATTTTACTGAAAGAAAAGAATAAAACTTATTAGCACTTAAATATTATATGAGGATAACTCATATACTCATATACATTTCAATAAGTAATGATGTTTGAAAAAAAAAAAGAAGAAAAAAAAAATTAAAAAAAAACAAGTATCACAAAGAAATGAAACATAATGAGAATGTACTTGTATAATCCAAATTTCAATAATCTTAATGTGGCTTAGTATACATTATGTGATATATTACCAATGAAAAGAAAAAAAAAAAAATATATATATATATATATATACAGCAAATTCTATGTGTCATTAGTATTAACGTGACGAAATAACATTGAGAAAAGCAAAAAATACCTTGGAAAATTTAACAATGTGCTTACAAAAATATGTTACTGTCGCTCCATAATAAATACAGATTTGGTGCAATGATGTATGATGGGAGATAAATAACACTCTGTGTTACTTTGCTTAACACCGAAAGTGACTTGGCCGCGAGTGAAAACACTGTCGCGTAACTTTCACAGGTAGGAGAAAAAATATGCGCACAGTACGAAATTACTTTTGCACCTGTGTTTAACCAAAAAAAAAAACACAACAAAAAAGATAATATAGACGACTCGATTCTATTCCGCACACCACGAATCCTATAAAAATTTTCCACAAAACAGACTAAGCGATGACGCTTGTGTAATGCACAAATGACGTCATAGGCGAACAATTACGACGGTGACCGAATGAAAGAACTTATTGCCAAAATCTGTCACAACAAATGTTATAATAGCAAAAAACTTTTCGCGGAACTAGCAAATACGAAAGATCTTATCAACGTGCGTCCTTATAAAATCTAACTTGATCAATATAGCGGTCAGCTTAAAGCGACACCTGGTGAGGATCTGTCAAATAAAAATGCGTACAATTTTTAAAATGATCTTTTACCTGTTACAATTCTTTGTTGCTATGTATAAAAAATAATACACATGCACACACACACGCACACATATATATATATATATACATATATGTATGTATAAAAATTAAAAAATACAATCTCTCCTTTTTCTTTCGTCATATCACATGATCTGAAAATTCTTATTAATTTTTTTATTGAAATGCAATGACGGAAAGAGCTCATCCGTCTGTTTTAATTATTTAAAGGAAATAAAACATTTCATTTATATTCTAATTTAAAAGATTTGAAAGTAATTGTTTGAATTAAATATCCACACACGCGTGCGCGTACACACACATGTATATATATATATGTATATGTATATATATATATATGTATATATATATATATATACATATATATATACATGTATTTATAAATATATATAGAGTAGTTTAACAAACGCATCATAGTGATACGACTTGTATTAAATAAATTTTATTATTGATAGATTACATATGTAAGTGTAAAAAATATTATATACGAAGAAAATTAAATTATATATATATGTACACATATATATGTTTATATATATATATATATATGTGTGTATTTTATAATAATAATAATCGTTTACGTTATTCTTATGGAAAATTCGTAAAATTGTAGTTAATTAATAAGAAATTAAACAAGGTATAAAAAAATGATGAGACTCACTTCGGAGCAATATTACAATGGCTGCCTTTATGGCGCGCAAATGAAAATAATGGAGAATGGAAAAGTATCTGTATCCTCGTAAATTGATTGGTTATTTTGGTAAACCACAAATATCAGATAATTAGACGTACTTTGGGAATTTATAAACGTCTAATTTCATTAGAAATTGTGATTAAAATTTTAGTTGTCAAAATAATCTACAATGTATTAATTAATTTTTTCTTTCTATTTGTCATAGTTCAAATTTGATATTCCATTGTTCATTTATTCTTAATGAATCATAATATTTTTATTAATATTTAAAAATCAATAATTTTTCTTTTTAATTTACATCAAACGCATTAATTGTACGAAATCATTTATCTGCAAAAAAAAAATATAATTATTAATATATTATTACAAGAGGAGAAATAAGTTCGAACAATTGAAATGATTCATATTTATTGAAATTATAAGAGAATTTGCATTAGAATGTATACTTCACATTGAATAGTATACTATAATTAGGCTATGTGAGTATATTTGAATAATATAGCAACATACTCTCTCTTTCTCTCTCTTTCTCTCTCCGCTATGGAAATAAATGTAATACAACATCGATCATCTATTATCTGTATAAAAAAGAAATACAGAAAATACACATCAGATTATTTTTTTACTTAATATTCGTGCAGGTTATTTAGGATTTTAATGTAACATTTGTTTTTGCGTATAGTTATTCCAGGTAACCAAGATCAGAACGAGCTGAAATTTGTAGTTTAAATCACATTAGAACTTGTACACAGTTTGCTTTATACATTGGTCCTACTTTTGGCTATTCAAGTGTGCTATTTAGAGTATTTCAATTACTTGCAGAAATTACAAGTATTTTTACTAATTATTAGAAAGGTTTTCTCTCTCTCTCTCTCTCTCTCTCTCTCTCACTCTCTCTCTCTTTCTCTCTGTCTCTGTCTCTTTCTCTCACAAATAAATCATATTTTTGAAGAGAAAACCTTTTTACTGAGTATATTTTACACATTAAGCAGAAACATTTTTAAATTTTCACAAAATAAATAAATATATAGTTAAATACTTGGAGAAAACTTATGTGTGTATTGTATTCAACATAGAATAATATAATTTTCGATTGATATCCTATATATGTATAGTATGCATCTATTATAATGTTAAACGTAAAATATCAAAGAATAGCATTTCTTTGTTCACATTGAAAATACTAACAATTAGAAACAGACATTTTAGATCTCAAATTTAATTAGAAATGGACCCTTGATTTGGGGTTGTACTTAGTTCTACATAACAATTTTATTTTGTTTCTTTTCTTCAAGATTCATGAATAACAATATAATATTCTAAATTTGTTTTTCTTTTTTTTTTTTTTTTTTTTTTTTTTTTATTATCTTTTTGTTCTTGTCTTCAATTCTTTTTTTCTTTTCTTTTGTTTTTTTTTTTTCTTTTTTTTCCTTTTTCTTTTCTTTTTTGGTAAATATTATACCTACATTTTTTTTTTGTAAATGCAATCTAAAAAAAGTAAGACAGCATTTTAAAAAATTCACAATATCCGCTGTCTTTTCTTTATATTGATTAAAAGTCTTTGACAAGCGTACTTAACAATTCTTGTACCTATGTCATAAATAAATGGAAAGACTTAAAAACCACATATAAAATATCTTATCATTATGACTTCTTTACATTGTGCAAATAAACATTTATTATAAATTATGCTTCTTTATCAATAACACTGCCCAATCCATACTTTGATACTTAAAATGTTAAACCTATTCTTATATTTAAGATGCTGATTTAAAAAATCCCATCGATTTCACAACATTAGATTTTCTTTTCAAAATACTGATATTAATAGCTTTATACGAAGTAATAAGATTGTTATCAGAAAATACTATATTTGAAAGGAATTTACAAAACATTATTACCTTCAAAGTAGTTCACTTCGAAGGTTATACATCATTAAAGGCTCTTGTCCTATTCTTTGTAACATTGTTGAAGATTGCATAGCGTTATCGCATTCAACTGATCTGTCAAGACTCTTTGTATGTCGTTTATACATGTTTCGTCTTCCATACATTCTCAATATTCTAAAAATGCATTATGCCATCTGACACACTTGTGTCCTTGATAATGCATACTCTCCATATGCCTGTATTATTTCCTGGAATGTATTTTCTTGGGCAATGTAATCAATCGAAACATTGAATAAATGAAAAATTTGTATTATGTATTAATTGAGTAGGCTTTCATTGGTAAGCCGTGACTTAGTATTAATCAAACTATATAAGGCTCTTATCTCTTTCTCCTTTAAATTAGGTGGTCCAAATAAAAAATCTTTTTGAACATAAGAATTTTGTAATAACTCCTGCATATTCTCAAGCGTAAGTACCAAAGAATCTAAAGAAGATTGTGTAATATTTAATTTTTTTGCCAAAATTCCAGTAATATGAACATCGTCGATCCAGAAATATGGTTCTTTTTGAGCTTCACGATACAAGATAAATACAATGTCAGGAGAATATAAAATAGCCCATCCAGCACAATACGCTGGATAAATTTTATCAGGATACTCTAGCGGAGAAACTCTCCATTTTGATCGCCACGATCTTTTAACTGCAGCCATTGATTTAAGATCGCATAGAATCAAACGTCTAGCACCTAATGGTGAGAGATCATGCGTTAGAAAGTCCAGCATAGCAGGCATATGAACAAAAACATCATCGTCTAGCTTTAATATATATTTGGCACCTGAGAAAAACATTAAAATATATATATTAATAATTCGAAAAATTATTTATATAATAATTGTATATTATGATTTTTAATAATGTTTACTTGGGCAATGATATGTAGCCCACTTCAATGCCATAACATGCTTATAGGTCATGTTTCTATAGGCATCAAGAAAATTTCCTTGTATTATATCATTATATTTTTTATTTTCCTTTTCTAATTTTTTTTGATATTTATCTGAAAGTCCAACAAAAAACAACAATATCAAGTCTGATGATTTCTGTCCCCATGTTTCCCGTATGATGTTTCTTTTAGGAAAATTTCCTGGCGCCGAGTGGATCAACAAAAGCAACAATGGTTGTGTTTTGTTACAAGGATCATGATTTATCGTAAATTTGAAATCCTTTATATCGATCAAAGTGGATTTGTCATCGGACGGAAGTTGGTTCAACGAATAAGGTTGAGAAAGTTGAGTTAGATTTCCAGGTAGAATAAGTAAATATCCTGGTGCCGATGGACTGTTTGAATAAGGAATTGGTGATCCAGAATTTTCTATATGAAACCAAAAAGAGATGCATCCTGTAAGTGCCAAAGCGATCACAAAGATCAGGGTGCATGGTGACGAACCAGGAGTATGAAGCCGCCGCTTTTCCAGCATGCTAATGATGCCCTTTCATCATATATATTACACTTAGCCTGAAACATAATAATTATATTATACATTTAAATATCTAATTATCTATCATACTCAATACATATATTTATCAATCAAAATAATAATTTATTTGCATATATGTGTATATTTTTTTATCTGTATATGTATATATATATATATATATAAATAATATTATTTTATATAATTCTTTTCTTTGGTCTATAAATATTTATTAAACGTAAACATCAGTCTTTACATTTTTCTAATATTATTGTTAGTTTGAAA